TGATCTCTGAAAATGAGCTCATGTGAGCTATTAGACATAGACTTAAATTTCCCACAAATCCATTGGAATTCATTGAAATAATATATACTCTCCAAATTGCAATGTTAAAAGTAGAAGAAACAGACTAGGATGAACCATAAAGTTGCAAGTCAACTTTTATTACTCTCCTATAACCCAACTGTTGACCATTCAAAAGAACTGGCCTTATTATAGGCCTTCAGTTTACTTCTATGATTTAGTGTCTATACATTCTATCAGGTGATTTTGGAAAAAAAAAATTAGACAAACACATTCATCTACTGAATAGGGAAGAAGGATGATGGATTTATAATTTTTCCTGGTATTCAAATCAAAGCAAATAAGTTTATTTTCACTGAATAACCCTAAAAATGGTATATTTTGTAATAAATCCAACTGTAAATAAAATTATTTTTTCATACTTTTGTCATATAAGAGACTTTATTTTCTGCTGGGCAGATGAAGAATCAGGTAGGTCTAATAAAATATATTAAGGAATTAGAAAATAAATTTTTTTCCAGAAAAAAAATGCTAAAATAAAATTTTCTTTAGAAAAGAAAGAATTTTATATGGAAGCAAAAGGTAATGCAATTTTTTAAAGAAGAAAATTGAGCAGATGAAAAATTTTGGCAAAGAATAAAAACCACACATTTGAAATTTACCATTACACCTTCTCCTGCCACTGCTCAGTCCTTCCTGTTCCAGCTTCTGCTTCAACCATGCTAATTAGAGTAATCCCCAGAGAGTCACCAGTGACCTTGCATCCATTTTAGGTCACATTTCTTTTGCTTTCCGTATATCATATGACACTACAGACAACATTCTCCTACAATTCTCTCTTCCCTGGACTTTCATGATACTGTTTCCTCTCAGTTCTTTTCCTAATTCTGACAGTATCTCTGTTCACTCCTCCTTTCTCCTTTCTTCCTGAATACAATATTGACTTAGGTGTTTTCGTTGGATATCTATTCTGCATTTTCTCTGCTTTTGCTAATTTATTATAACCTATAGCATTAGCTTCCATCTATAGGCAAATGATTACAAAATCTGCATCATGTTTAAGCTCCAGATTTGCATTTTCTGCTGCTGGATGTTTTAATTGCCATGGATGTGTTTCTATCAAATGATCAAATAAACTCACAAGTTTATTTCTACCATATGTTATTTGTTTATCTTTCTCCTTTTATTTAATGGCACCACCAAGGGCTACAATATTTGCTGTCATCATCCATTCTTCCCACTGCTTAACTTGTAGATCTCTCTTCCTTGAAGTCACTCCATTCCCTTCTTTCAATCTTCATTTCTACTTATGTGATATACTGTCTTATTGCCTCTTAAAAAAAATCTACCAGACTCTATTATACCCTCTCTTCTAATCTATTGTGTACTCTACTGCCAGGGAAGTCTTCATAAATCTCTGCTTTCACTACATCGGTACCTGGAACAGTGCAGCCCCTAAAACAGTAACTAGCACATGGTATGTGCTCAGTAAATGTCTGCAAAAGGCTTTACCATTCTTTTATAGTTTATCTGAAATAGCATTTAATGAGATATCTTCTCAGTCTCCCAAATCAAAATTATTTATCTTATTTTCTACCTTCCCATAGCATTTTTTTTTCCACCTTTCTCATAGCCCTTAGCACATGTCCCCATGGTATTAATCCTACCTATTGGATCTCAACTCCTTAACCCAAATGCTGGGTATAATTACCTTCAAATCCTCCACAGTGCTTTAAATAGTAAGCTCGCAAGAGATGGTTCCGAATTGAGCATTCACAATAAAATGTAGTAATATATTTATGGCACATTATTAACTCTATATTGCAACCAACAAATGTGAAATTTGTTGTTTTTGAGCCACATTTTGAAATGTACATAACTCTGAATGACATATTTCTTACAGAAAATAATAAACAAAGCTTTCAGATTGTAAGCCTTTCTAAGATTTATTTTGAGAATACAATCCTTAATTTTAGAATTCTTCATTTTTATATACATTATAATACTGTTAGAAATTCAAAGTTGTAAAATAAACTCTCCTTGATTTTGATAACATGAGAAATTCTATAACATTTATACTGTGACTAATAAAAGTGTTATATTATAAAAATCAGGACAAATTTTTATTGAGAATGGACTGTGATGGGTACTTCTTTAAATATTTTAAATGTATTAACTATTTCTAATCCTCATCAGAACCTTACAAAACAAGTTATACTTACTTATAAATTGGGAAACTAAGTCTCAGAGATTAGATAATTTATACACGGTAACACAGCTAGTCAATGGCAGAGTCCATGTTGAAACGCTGGCAATGTGGCTTATCATTTTTTCCTCTTACATATTTTTTGTGAGTCAACTGACTTTCACATCACATGACTTTCAGCAAATTTAAGTTTCCAGTGCTATCTTTGAAGGATAAAAAAAGTAGAGGGAGGATTCAGAGGGCTCTGATTAGTTAGTTTTACTTCACAGTCCTGCCAATAGACAGGAGTGGTTTTAATAGCTTCACCAGCAACTAAAATGAATGTTGTCCAGAGCACCCAGGTACATTGTCTTTCATGCAACAGGAACTTGCCACTGCAACCACTGAGAATACCATTAGCACAAACGTTATCACTAATGCATAGAGCAGGGAGATTCCATTCTGTAGACATGTTTCCTGATTTTCTATTCCCATCTCCAGGATCCAGCTAGTTTCTAGGGTCAGGCATATCTCTCTTCAGGTTCTTTAGTTTGCTTCCATCTATGAAAAGCCAGACTATATCTCATCTACAAGAATTATACTAATAACAGCTCTAGACACTACTGCATATCAGGTACAGATGGGAGCCACCATAATATGCAGCCTAAAGGAGAAGAGACTTAGGTAGGTATACTGGTATTTAAAATGTTATTGGACAGATGATAAATTAGATTAACCACAGCCCCCAAGGAAGTAGAAGAATGTTGAGTAGAAGTTACCAGGAGATATGGTATGTGCTCAGTAAATACCTGCAAAAATCTTTATCATTCTTTTATAGTTTATCTGAAATAGTGTTTAATGAGATATGTTCTCAGTCTCCCAAATCAAAATCATTTATCTTTTCTACCTTCAAGTAGATCAGTTTAAGAAATCACATTTTAAAAGAGGTGTCTAAAGATGGTATAGCTTTGCCCGGAGACATAGTATTTTCTGTAACACTGAAGGTATCAAACATAGGTTAGACAAACACTTGGGGAGAATATTACAAAGAATATATTCATACTGGCTATATAATAATGCTTGATTATTTTTACATGTTTTACAACTTGAGAGGATGTGATTCCAGTTGTGCACAGCCACATGGTTGGGATCCCTATGTCCCCTGCTATAACACAGCCAGTCTTCAGCTTGTGTTGTCACCATTTTTACTTTCTCCAATTTGCAAGACTGATTCTTATTTTAATTTTTGTCTTCTAGTCTGAAATTGTATCAGTTTTCTTAAAGGAGATAGAGTTCTCTGTTACCCATATTCAGCATTCAGTAAATCTTCAATAATACAGTAAACCTTCAATAACAATAATTTTGTCTGTATACAAAAACAGTTTTATAGGAGAAAAGTGTTTTGTACAAGCTAGGTACCCCATAAATGTATGCATACATCTGAAATGCATATATATAAAATACATGTAAATACAAAGTGTTCAGTTATAAAGTTAGTAAACTATAATTTCTTAGAATTTCAAACTTGTCTGCATTGATGAAAATTTTCAAAAAAAAAAATAAAATTACTTGGATGAGATCATTTGAGCTAAGAAATTTTTCCAGAACCAAGAAAAAATACCCTACATAACTGGACCTATAAATAGTAGGATAAAGAGATTTGGGGAGGAGGTCTAGGAAATGTTTTTACAGGTAAACATGTATTTTCATAATATCTGTAATTCACCTAGAATGTCTTAATCTCCTTACACATGAACACCTCCTTAAAGAGAAGAAGGAAACTAAGCTTTTATCTAGAAACAGAAAAACACTGATTTGAAAATATACTAAATGCAAAATAATTGATTTCATAGGTCTTACTAATATAGGTAATCAAGTTTATATAAATCCAGTTAGTCCTGAATGAAGCAAGCACAAATTACACAAACCACTTCTATTAAGATTATACTTGATAATTCCTTTATGTAAATTTTATAAACTTAAAAACTTATTAATAAAATAATAAACAATTACCTATTTCATAAAAGCCAAATATACCAGGCCACACAGTAATTTCTAGATGTTCCCATGGGACAGCATTGAGTAGATTTACCCCCACAAAAAATGCCTACATTGAGGAAAGAGGTATCCTAAAGTCCTCATAAGAAGCTTCCTGGGCCGGGCGCGGTGGCTCAAGCCTGTAATCCCAGCACTTTGGGAGGCCGAGGCGGGTGGATCACGAGGTCAAGAGATCGAGACCATCCTGGTCAACATGGTGAAACCCTGTCTCTACTAAAAATACAAAAAAAATTAGCTGGGCATGGTGGCACGTGCCTGTAATCCCAGCTACTCGGGAGGCTGAGGCAGGAGAATTGCCTGAACCCAGGAGGCGGAGGTTGCGGTGAGCCGAGATTGCGCCATTGCACTCCAGCCTGGGTAACAAGAGCGAAACTCCGTCTCAAAAAAAAAAAAAAAACAAAAAACAAACAAACAAAAAAAAAACCAAGAAGCTTCCTAAATGTTTTTCACAATTATCAGAACACTGCGAAGACACAGGTTGGTGGCTAAGCCCTTGAGTCACTCTACAACTAATTATATTTCTTATGACACAGCTATAACTCATAGAGCCTAGGTGCCAATTAAAGTTAAGTTTTTGTTTTTGTTGTTTAAAAATGTCAAGGTAGGAAGCAATCAGGGTTAGCAAGGGAGGAGGAGAAAGCAGAAATACAAAGTCTCAACTAGAAAAGGTATTGAATGCTATAGGTTTTTTTTCTTCTTGATAGGCAAAAAATTTTCATATCCATTAAAACTTGCTTACCTGCCGCTAACGTTTGTCCTGCTCCTGAAGCACTGGTCACACAACCAACTGAATTGCAGAGAGTAATAGTAAAGTCATATATCCTGTAAGGTTTCAGTCCTTCTACAGTGTAAGATAGTTCTTGGGATTTAGCAGTGTGCAACAGCTTCAGGGAAAACAAAATCAGATAATAGGTAATCAGTGCAAAAATATAACCTTGGCAGTCAAAGTTCCATGAATTCAGACAGGGGGAATTATTGCCAACCACCATTAGGAAAAGGATTTTTTTTTTTTTTTGAAGAGTCTCGACAAGCCAGGATTTAATTGATAATTGTACAATCACACTGTTTTATGAGGTAATAATCCAGTTCCTGAGTGGATAAATGAGAAAACCAAGTTATTGCCTCATAAAGCAGCGTGGTGGTATGGTTATTGTCACCAATGGTAGAGATAAAGATGGTGACACTGTCATTGTTATCATGATAAAGTCCAAACGAAGCCATGGGGCTTGGCCAAAAGTAACCCAGTGCAGTAATACCCAGGCTATTTGATGGTGCTAGAACAGAAAGACATGTTGTGGCTATGTTAAATCAATACTATCATTTTTGTTAAGAAAAAAAATGTCACAGAAGAAAAAGGGAAAAAAATAAACATTAAACATATTACTGAGCATCCACATTAGATCAATTCTCAATCATCTTTCTTACACAAACATGGACAGATTACATCAAACAGTTACATTTTTTGAAATCTTATCTTTATCATGTAATTTCAAATGAAAATCGCAGTTTTGAGCCAAGAAGACTGAGAGAAAACTCACAGCCCATAAATAAGTTATTGAACAATGAACACTGAGAGTTCATTCTATTTTTATAATTAGAAGTCATCAAAAACAACCATGTAAATTTGTTTAGGTTGTAGGTACAAAGTCCACTAGAAATTATATTCAGAAAATAAAAGTCATTAAAACAGAGAGTATGACATTATGAGTACAAAACTAATTTTCTTAGAGCTACTACTACATAGTTATATAAAATAATCTTCCATAAGTATAAATACAAATAAATCTAAAGTTTAGTAATATTTGGAGTAGTTTTCTAGAGACTTTCTCTTTAGGGGCACAAAAAAATTCATTTGGAATATTCGCCTAGGAGTTGACTTTAAAATTTCATAAATTACATGAGTAGTTCTAAAGAGCAGTGAGATTGGAATGTAGGATACAGTGTTTCAATAATGTTCAGAAATAAAGGTAGTTTTAAAGATTCTAAAACTCTAGGAGTGATTTAAAACTTTTAAACCATTTCCTCGCAATTACATTTTGAAATCAGAAAAACATCAAATACCAAGTAATTATTTTTCTAATTGTAAAATCGTTATTGATATACTGAAGATATAAACTTTTCTTTTCCGTGAAATTCGATGGAAAATTTCCTAAATAAAATAAACCTTGAACCGAATTAAATTTATGAATAGTACTATAATATCCATCCCTTTCAGAAGAACCCTGGCAGAATTCAATGTAAATTTTTAGAAAACAGAATTGTTTTTAGAATAAAATACATTAAGCAATTTCTTATTTAATTTAGGAAGTTGAATTATTTTTTAAACAAATCATTCTCTGTAGCAAGAACCCACAATGAAATAACAAAGAAAACATCTACACTAAAATTTATTTTGATGGACTTTTACTTCCCTACAGATGATTATTATAAACTGCATTATTTTAAAAAGATATTATTTGCCCCAGAACTTGCATCATAAAATTATCGCTCAGATAGTCTTTGTCTTTATCATGTACATAGAGTCAATTTATAAGTCTTATAAGATTTATCTAATTGAAAGTTTTTCATGAAATAAGTCTTCAAAAGGGTAGGAAAAACTCTGCAGCAGCTTGGACTCCTACAATGAATCCTACATCATCCCCACTTTTATGTACTCCCCCTGCCTCATTCTCAGGCAAAGATTTCTTAATAGTTACTCTTACAGTAGACTTTCCCCAGGAATTCTGGCTATTTATTTCCAAAGATTATGACAAGACAGGTCAGTTCAGTTACAAATTTAATCATTGAGAAGCCAAAAAATTGGACTTTGTTCTGCTACTTTTGATTTCATTTCCTTAAATAGAGAATGAAGATGACAATGATTTGCAGTGGAGAGAGTTCAAAAGAGAATAAGGTGGGCCCAGGGCAGTGGCTCATGCCTGTAATCCCAGTACTCTGGGAGGCTGAGGTGGGTGGATCACTTGAGGGCAGGAGTTAGAGAACAGCTTGGCAAAGCTGGCAAAACTCTCTCTCTACTAAAAATACAAAAAAAAAAAATTAGTCAGGCGTGGTGGCACGCACCTGTAATCTCAGCTACTCAGAAGACTGACACACAAGAATGGCTTGAACCCAGGAGGAGGGGGTTTCAGTGAGCTGAGATTGTGCCACTGCACTCCAGCCTGGGTGACAGAGCTAGATGCTGTCTCAAAAAATAAAAATAAAAATAAAAAAGAGAATAAGGTGATATATCTATGTCCTTATTCCAGTTCAGTCATAAGGAGCAGCCTTTTAAATAACAATAACAACAACAAAAGATTTATTTTCCTGCCCCATTAAATGATAGCTAGTTTATAAAGTATAATGTAGTTCCATGCCATTAATAATAATCAGTAAGAATAATGTGTCAATATTTATCAAGCTCTTTAAGCAGGTAGGTAAGCAGAAATGGTTTTCCCATTTCACAGATGAATAAAACCAGAAGACATATGTGATATGGCTAACAATTGGGAGACATGGAATATGAACAAGTTGACTTCTAAGTCTGTATGTTTATATATGATATTTCTCTCATTTTTGTTTCTTAGAATAACTACTATGATGTAAGTAATAGATAAATCAAAAGTGTGTTTTACAAAGAAAGAATAGTTTATAAAGCAAAAGAATAGTAAAAACAACAAAATAAAACATCAAGTATAAATATGAGATATAACATGGCAAAGGCCCCAAGGAAGTTATAACTAAATTTACCTTAAATCCCATGGTATACCAGATTGTTAGACTAACCTGTTTAAGTTAAAAGGTATGTATGATACCAGTTGTGTTTTCATCATGAGATAGTTGCAAATGAGTCAACACATTACCAGATTAATGAAAAATAAGGAATCATAAATTATTTATTGGCTCTTCTTTGTCATCTAGTATACAAAATAAAATTGTGTGTTGTATATATATTCTGTCCACTAAAAACACTTAGAAAAAAATGGCAAACCTATTAGCAGTAGATTGTATAGTGTCTTCCAAAAATCCAGAATGAGACCTTATTTCGAAATAGGTTCTTTGCAGATGTAATTAGTTGTCATCCTGCATTTAAGGATAGTTTAAAATCCAATGACTGGCATCTTTATGGGAGAAATGTGATGGACACACAGCACAGAAGAGACAGAGACATAGAGAAGGACTTGTGAAGACAGAGGCAGATATCAGAGTTACGTTGCCAGAAGCCAAGGAACACCAGGAGCCATGGGAAGGTGGAAGAGAATTGTCTCCTAGAGCCTGTGGGGGACTTGGCACTACTAACACCTAAATTTCCACAGTTGTAAGCCACTCAGTTTATGTTAATTTGCTACACCAGCCCAAGGACACAAATACTCTAGGGTACAAAAATCTGACTTCCTGACTTAATTTGAAACATGCTAAGAGGGTCATTTCAGCTCCAGAACTACCCACAGAATCAGCTGAGGCTGCTTCTACTATTGATTCATAGCTCAGCTTCTGCACTGCTCAGTCCTACTCCTTTGTCACTTCACGCTTATTGAAAGTGCTCCGCCAATAAGCCTCTGTACTCAGTCTTCTACCAAGAGAGAGGCTGTTTCCAGGGGAATTTGCCCTGAGATAGTCGTACCAGGAGTGGCTTTAGGAAGGAGACTCTTAAAATGATACTCTGGAGTTCCATCATCCACCAGCTGGTTTGCAATGAGGATCTCATCACCCAAAGCTAGCGGGTAGAGTACTGATAGTCCACAGCATGCCCTAGTGGTGCAACCCTTAAGCTTCCATTAGTGGTGAACTGGCATGAGTTGCCAGTGGAAGGTAATTCACTGGTTTGGTGGAATTGGTAATTATAAGGACTGCTCTGGGGAATCTAGTAATCATAAGGACTATGCATGGCTCTTGCTGGTTGCTATCAATGCACTGAAGAAAGACAAAGAAAATCTGAGGGTGATTAATCACCAATTTAAGACAAACTATAAAAGCCTTCTTGACAGTATTGTTTATATCAATATCATTGTATTAAATGAATCAAAGCAAGAAATGGTAGGTATGCAGACGTAAGACGTATGTATTCTAGAAAGTGGAAGAGCAATATTATGAAGATTAAGGAATCTTCCATATCAGTAAAGTTTTTAGGAGTCCAAGTGGCCTGAGACGTCTAGAATATTCCCTCCAAAATAAAAGACGAAGTATTGCACCTTGCATCTACCACCACTAAGGAAACAGAATTTCTAGTAAACCTGTTCACGTTCTGAAGGGAGCATATTCCACACTTGAGAATACCATTCTGAGAAATTTACTGAGTAACATGGAATGCTGCCGGCTTTGAGTGCACCGCAGAGCAGGAAAGGGCTCTGCACCAGGTCCAGACTATGGTACAGGCAGATCAGCCACTTGGGACATAACGTATAGTAAATTTTAAGATTTTATAGCACTAGAGGTAAGCATGGTGGGAAAAGATGTTGCAAGGCACATATAGAAAGAGAATAATAAGACAGATAAACCTCAAGACCTTGGAACAAAGGCATAACATGTAACAAAAGCTATACACTATTTGCTAAATGGCTCCTAGCATGCTTTCAGGCTTCAGTAAAAACAGAACATCTAGTATGGAATACCACATAGCCATGTAGCTAGAGTCACTTGTTTATAATCTGGGAATTGTCTCAGCCAAGTTTTGAGGTTAGGAGGGCCCAAAACAAAATGGAAGTAGATGTCTGAGACTGGGTATAAGCAGAGACAAAAGCCATAATACACTGTGCAAGCAGGTGGTTCAGACCCCCATGACATCCACCATTCTTATACTGGTGGCTCAACCTCAGCTCATACTGATAACCCATGGGAGGTCCCTTCAGAGCTGAAAGAATGGGAAAATAAAGCAGAGTTTAGTTCACAGATAGGATGTCTTGGTAAGCAGTTGCAAGTCAAACATGGTGGCTGTTGCTCTACAACCCTTGTCAGAGATGGCCCTGTGAAAGAGTAGAGAGGAGAAATCCTCTCAATGGGCAGAACTTCAGGCAGTTCACCTGGTCACCCATGTTGTCTGGAAAGAGATGTGTCTCAGGATAAAACATATCTGGACAATATGACAGTGGCTTGGATATATTGGTCACAGGCATGAAAAAAGAAAGATGGAAGGATCAGGAGCTAGGAATTCTGGGAAAGAAAAATGTGGCCAGATCTATGGAAGCAGGCATAAAGTGTAAAGATCTTTTTATCTTATGCTAATACCCAGCAAAGAGCAGCTCCCTCAGAAGAGGCATTGAACAGCCAAGAACACAGAACAACTCATTGTTTACATCCTTCCACCAGCTTCTGGGATTGGCCACCTGGAGGCTGGTAAAATGGGCAGAAAGGCATACCAGTCACAACTGTAAACTGGAGAGAATGAGGGCCTCTCATCTTCTAGGAGTGCTGTGTGTATCAAATGAATTAGTCCACATATGCAGTAAAGCATCAGTAACCTTTAGCTATGATAATTATTCTCACTAGTGCTAGCTGGAGAATGAATTATTAGAAGGCAATATATTCCTGTTTATTCAAAACCTTGAACATATTCACATTTCATTTTGTTACAAACTGTGATAAATTCCATTCTTCAAACTTTTTGAAGGAAGCAGAAATGTATACAAAATGTACATATAAGACATTTATACCAATGTTATTTATGTTTCCAAAAGAATTAATATAATACAAATATCAACTGACTGTGGACTGGTTAAATACATTATAGTGTGTCCAGGTAACTTGATAGTACACAGCTAGTGAAAGTCAACTTCTTGTAAAATATTTAAGGATACGTGATAAATAGAAAAAAACAAGTCTTATGAAATGAATTATACCAACTTTGCTTCAATATATGTTTATATTGGAAAAAAATCAAGTGACATACAAAGAGGCTTGTACACATAATATTAAGAAAAAAAATCCCCCATTTAATGAATATAGAGGGAGAATTCTGTCACAGAATTCTGCAAACTCAAAAAATGTCCAAATGAAGCCCTAAGTCAATTCTGAAAGGACGTTAGTTAAACATAACAATACCTGTGAAAACACCACTGGAATAGATTGTTGAGGCGATTGTTTAGAAATCATATTGATGTCATAACCCACAACTTTTCCTCTTGTAACATTATCTGCTGGCTTCTCCCAGGAGATATTGAGAGAGTACGAAGACAGGGGAATGACTGAAGGAGGGCTCATGAATACAGGTGCTATCAATGAGAATAACAACAACATTAAAACAATGAATGGTGTCCCTATATATTTTCAAATTGAATTCACACATTCCTTTTAGTTTCTGAAATACCTTGTACCTTACAAAATATTCTGTTCTGAAAAAGTCTAAGAATATCCTGGTATATGTAAAAGGTATTCACTTTTTAAAATGTTATCTGCAAGTATATTATCCATCTTCATATTACCAGCTACTTTCTATTCACAAAATAAAAATCTCAAGGGAATTTGCTTGTGTTCATAAAGATAATTAGTGAATGGTTAGGTAGGAAATTATAAGTCTTACGAGCATCTGAAAGAAGTCACAAAAATAGAATATCTCAGTCCAAAAAGTTCAGAAAAAGGCATGGCGATGGTGTGGATTTCCCATGTAGGGAAATATGTCATCGAGCCAATCCAATGCAGCTGAGTGAACATAGTTCTCCAGAAACAGGTAAGCCTAAAGCATTCTAAATAACCCCAATGAATGTCTCAAAGTTTTCGTTAAATTTTTATTGAAATGTTCAGGGTACATACACACATACATTTCCCCCCTGCCACCCTTGAGCTCTTAATAGGGATTTCAAATGAGCTAACCAAAGGTGTATTATCAAAGAAACTCATTGCACTTTCGTTAGCCAGTGACCCATAAGATTATGGGGACCCAGTATTGCAGTTTCACCCATTACTTTTCATTTCTGACCTTGACTTTCCCCTTCCAGAATGCCATGCCTCATCACTTGTGCTATCATGGCTTTATTATTTGTCCAAGATGGCTGACAGTCACTAAGAGATGCTCAAGTATAATGCGCATTTTATTCATGAAATGATTTCCTTGGACATCAACTTAAGGGTACCCTCATCCTCCATATTTCTAACAGGTCAAGTTTAGATCAGGACTTCGGTTTCTTTGTTATCTACAGATTAAACACATAATCAAAGTGTATTTTTTTTCTTAAAGGCTCATGACATTTAAAGTGTTTTTAATATAAAAAATAAAGTGGAGGCTTAAAAATGTTTGCCTTAATGAAGGTACTCAAGAAAATTTAGGTATGTGGTCCTCCTTCCTTATAACCATGCCAACTGCTTACAAGCACACTTGTGACTTATAGATTTTGATGTCCAGGATTCTGTCATTATGTACAATCTAGTATCTAAACTATTTATTTTGGAAAGATAAATAAAAACAAAGACAGATTTGTGGACTTGGTGACAGTTATCTCTTTCCTAGAACATAAATTATGCTGTATATGGAGCAAGATGAGACATGTGTCCAATCCACTTCAGGACTGGAAACCAAATGCTATTTCTGACAAACATTCCCCAAAGACTATAACTATAGTTAAGCCATTTTCGCCCCATGAATTAATAACTAAAGCATTTCCTTTTGCCCCCTAAAACTTATTGCAAGTACTTTATGACCTTGAGTTGTTTATGTAACCAACCCTTATATATTAAATATTTCCTTGGTCTATGGAAGTTTCTAATTCTTGCTTTTCAAAATGTACTTTAGCAGTGTTGACTTTAATTTGAGGGAGCACTTGCCTTCAGAGGTTTTAAAAGTAGAACTTAAAGCATTGATCTTTACCTGATTCTCCCGTTCTTTCTGAGACCCAAGCAGAAGACACGCTTCCGGCCATATTCACAGCTAAGACTCTAAACTCATACTTGGTGTATGGCTCCAAGCCAGTGATGGTTGTAGTTGTTTGAGGAGGTTTTAATGCATTTTCATTGGACGATTCTGCAAATGAATGAGGACTGAGCCAACCACTGCTCTGAAAAACTCGACTTTCCTCAGATGTGGTTTCTTTAGTAGATCTCAATCTTCTCATGTATAGTTCATACCTTATAATTATTCCTAGGGAAATTAAATAGTGAACCAAGGTGACTCGTCAGACAAAGGGGTAACTTTGGGGGTAGGTTAGGGACAGGTCAGTTAAAGAATGCTAGATTTTCATTATCCTTCTACTTAGGTTACTGTCAATTTTTTAAGCCTTCAAAGTGTAGTATTTAGTAGTTTAGTAATCTAGATGACAGGTACATAGAAGACAACAAACTGATACATAGATGAATGATAAAATACATTTTTATAATGTATAAAATACTTTTAAGGCATACGCATGGGGAAAACAAACCAAAATGGGCAACATATAGACAAAAAATAACTATACTTTATCACAGATAAATTCAATCTTTTTCAGAATTGATGGTCATTAGGAACGGCCAGTTCTTTCAGGGAATTTGATTATCGTAGCTCCAGTCTGTATACTTTCACATTTGAAGGTTTTAATTTAATTTAACATAAGCCCTGTTTGCATAAATGTTATAGTCAATTTCTACCCAGTTTTACCAAATAACTTTAAAAATCTAAAGAAAGATTTTGCTATAGTATGTACATGATATAAATGACCAAAAATCTATGAATGTGTATCTGGCCTATATAACCAAAGGTTCAATTGTATGAATGCAAAAATTAACTTAATGGAGTCGGTTAGCTTGCGTACATATTTTTTGTATTATTTCATATCTTTTTCTCGCTTAAAAGATTAAATGCACTGCTTATGAGTGCCCTAACTTGTGACACAGTCAAATATAATGCATTTCATAAGTGAGTTTCAAATTATAAACATCATTTGTGTTATGGCAGATGTCATTAAGAGCAAAGATAATATTAGCCTTTTAAGGGGCAATTTAATTGAATGGAATTTGTTATTAGAAGAAATACACTTGTTCCACTAACCAGGACAAACACTATCATATATCTATAGAAACTGTTTATCCATTATTATATTGTGCAGTTATGAAAAGGAATACAATTGCTAGACTCTTAATTGCACAATTACAATGCCTAGATTCTTACTTATGTCTTACCCAAGAAGGGGAATCTTGGCCTTGAATTCTTACCATTTAGTTCCATTGGTGGAGACCATTCTACGTGAAGTTCTGTAGAACTGACTGTCTGCACCTTAGGTGGGCTTAGTCTTTGGGGAGGGGCCTGGGCTGTGGTCACTGTAATAGGCAAGCTGTGTAAACAGCCCCCGCTAGTACACGCTTGTACAGAAAAATAGTACTTGGTGAATGGAACCAGATTCCAGATGGTAGCTGAGGTTTCATGACCTTCGTAGGAAACGCATGGCTGACCACCAGTCAAAGGGACACAGGACAAAATATATTTCTCTATAGGCCCAGATAGATTTGAGAGTGTTGTCCAGGTCAGTGCCACAGAGTCTGGGCCAATAGGAAGGATATAACTTAAAGTCAAGTTTCCCTCTGGGACTCCTGGTTTTGTCCTGTAAGTGACAGCTACACTCCTTGTTGAACCATGCACATTGGTGGTCTCGATGTAATAGGAATATTTGGTATATGGTAACAGGTCAGTGTCTAAGAAGTATTGAATACCTGGAATGAAAAGAAAAAAAGACAACGGTTACATTTCACAAGTTGGTAAAGAATCATTGCTAACTGCTTTCCTATCAAATTACTTAATTATATAAACTATACCCATCTACTCTTTTAAGAAAACATTTCAGATTTTTAACATTGAAATCATGTAAATACCAGTTGATTGCTTTTATTATTGAGTATAACATAAAAGTGCCATTCATAACAAAGAATATTTAGATGTTTGTTTTAGCTCGTTTCACTTTTTATAGTGTCCTTTTGATAGAAAATCTAAGAGAAAATTCTTGCAGTTGTCCAAAACAGAAGTAACTATGTTTCCTCTATGTAACTGGTTTGCTTGTTAAACACTAAATACACCAGACTAAAGGTTAGTAAACTACCACCAAGAGGTAAAGGTGTCATCAGGCCAACATCTTGACTGGAACATTTTCTTATTTTCTGACCTACAGAAATGGTGTTTATTGTTTTAAGCTGCTAAATTTTGGAGACATTTGTTATCAGCAGTGGGGAATTTACACAAGAGTAGTTCTAGATAAGCAGGACTTCTATGCATGAAGGATTGTGAGGGCAGAGAGAAGCTGCTACAAAGAGGTTTTTAAAAAATAAGATAGGGAGTGGAGGTGATTAGGCACGTGACTGGAACTCCTTGTTCTCTAAGGACAGCAAATACATTGCAGGACTGTGAAACACACAAATGCCAGAGTGGCTGCTGCTTGCTTCCTCCTGGGGCTGTTGTATGGGAGATGGAAGGAGGGTTCCATTATGCAGGGGTATCCTAATGCAATATGAAGGTCCCGGCATATTTATGTGCTTACAGTGGAATAGTTAAGCATTCAGGGTCTGATTTTTTAATCCACAGAGTTTGTTTCTTTTTTCTTTTCCTTCCTTCCTTCCTGCCTGCATGTCTGCCTGCCTGCCTCTCTTTTAACAGGAGATAGGGCTTCATTGTGGAAAAGCTAAGTTAGCAAAAGTCTGAAACAGCAACAATGTTTAGCCGAGCCCATCTATTTACAATATATAGAGGTTGGGGTTTCTCATATACATCTGTACTGCTCTCCCTCAGCCTAGATATATCCCCATAAGCAAATTTCATTTCTTTCCTGGATCTGCCATTGGCCACAGAAGACACAGCTCTTTGGGGTGATATCCTATCATGTAAACCTAGGCATTTCCAGTCTTTTTTTTTTTCTAGACAGCATCTGACTTTGTCACCCAGGCTGAAGTGCAGTGGCATGATCTTGCAACCTCTGCCTCCTAGGGTTCAAGTGATTCTCCTGCCTCAGTCTCCCAAACAGAATAGCTGGGACTACAGGCACATGCCACCACGTCTGGGTACTTTTTGTATTTTTTGTAGAAGATGGTGTTGCGCCATGTTGCCAAGGCTGGTCTTGAACCCCTGGGCACAAGCGATCCACCCACCCTCCCAAAATGTTGGGATGGCAGGTGTGAGCCACCACGCCCGGCCCTTCTTCCCAGTCTACACCTCCTATAGAGCACCCTGGGGTCTGACTGCTCAGTGGAGGAGGTTTCCGCTGGTGTTGTGGGGCGGGGCACCTTGGGTATTGATTCAGGTGGCGGCCACTATCTTCTCGGAGATGGCCCTGATAGAGCCAAGGAAGGTGAGACAATTTCTCTGGTGGCTGTTTCCAGTTGTGCCATGGGTACCAGGGGGTCACCTGGGATCAGGGTGGGGGTTGGCGGAGGAACACTCACAACCCCATGAGAGATACTGAGGTCAAGGTCCCGGTTTCAGCCTGGGGGATGTGGTTCCTGAGGAGACCATGATCCCTGGCTTCCTGGATGGCCCAGGTCAATCTCTTGCGTGGCTTCATGCAGACTCCAGTGTATGGAGCATGAAAGATGACACCCGCAGACAAGCTGTTCCAAGAGTACAACATGCAACTTGTGATCTCGGCAGATGGAGCAGGGATTCCCAGCAAGTTTATTCTTGCAAATCCATGTATTTCGAGTCTGCTGTGGGGGTATACCACCCTTGTGGTTGCCACCATAGTCAGCCCAGATAGGACGATAACCCTACCGCTCCTGGTATTCTTCTGATTGCAGATATTTCCAGGGTTAGTTCTTATAAGGGGAAATGAGAACTGGGGGCAAAGAATCCTTTGCAGAGGGAGCTTTGGTGCAGAGTCTAGAGGGGAGCCTGAACTCCATTGGCACCTAGGAAGAGAGAAATGATAGGAAGTCGCCTCAGCACGGGGTTTAATACGGACGCCGCCATCTTGACGTGGTCCTGTGCAGGAATCTCTTGGTTTCTTGAACAGTGAGGGTGCTGTGTTGAGAGCCAGTGAGCCTACTATGGGACCTTCTACGGCTGGGACAAAGTGATTCTTCCACCTCTGAGAGGGCCCAAGGGTGGATGTAGGAGATGGGGGAAAAAAAATCAGAAAGTTCTCAGCCTAGGGGAAGGCTAAAACAGCAGGGTATTCATGAGGCCCTGACCAAGCTGAGAATGATCACGTGTTCACCAGCTTCCTGCATTAGACACTGATGCTGTGAGGATGCCAAGGGATGACATCTGGCCAACTACCTCTTAGAAATGAACCTGCATCCTCTGAAGGGCCTTCTGCAAAGGGCCAGAGGGAAGCTGCCCTTCCCCAAATGTCATGGTGGTTGAGGGAGGGGAATAATTAAAGACTGAACAATGCAAGGGAGTATCTGAATGAAAGATGGTTTTGTTATTCTATTGCATATGTTATTGCAAATTCTTCATGAAAATATGTTGAGTATTGTATTAGAGTACAATCGGGACACAGAAACCACAGAGTAATTTGCACAAGAGAAGTTTATAGATAATGATTGATTATAACATGGTTTTACTTCCTAAGTGGTACAGAAAACTCTAAAGAATATAGGAATAGAAAAGACAGGAAAAAGTCACCATCCCTAGTGTTAAGGCAGAGCACCCAAAGAAGAATCATATTCGGTAAAGTCCCCTAGGGCTGAGATTCAGATTTTCTAGAGAGCATGCAGCTGTGGCCCTTTGTTATTTATATAAATATTTATTAAAGTTACCTTGATCCCACAATAAGGCTGTTGAAAATATTAACAAAATTTGAAAAATCATTGAAGGCTAGAACAATGATGGAGAATAATCTATTTAACACGCCAAAAGCTAAAACCTAAAAGGCAAAAATAAACATCAGTGCTGAGTATTCCAAAAGACTGTCTGGCATAGGCTTAAACTGAAAGTTGGAAGACCTACAACCTGACGACAATCGAAAGAAGTACAGTACTTGCTGGATGTTTGTA